TCTTGTGTGATCATTGAAGTTAAGCAACATCAAAACTGGTCACTACCTAAATGTGTGGAAATACCAGGTTCTGTAAGCTTGGATCTGCGGGTGGTGTAATGAATAATAGCTTGAAATTGGAAATCAGGGCTAGGTCCCAATTATATTCAGGCTTGTTATATTCACTTATGTACAAATACCCTTGGGAAAGGCATGAATCCACCTCTTCTCTCCCCAGCTATGGGTTAATTAGTAGTATTCGTATCAGTAAATCATTATTATTGCCAAAGAAATTCTTACAATCTAAAAATATTTTCTGGATTTAAGGAACCTGTAAAATGTTGAAAAGCCTTGAAAACAAATCAATCTTAATATGTTCTGAAGTGTTTTTTTTTTCTTTTTATAGGTCATTGTTCTGTTAAAACATGAATCTTCTACTAAGTCTCAGAATTGTAATTAGTCCTGTGACCTATTAGGCTCATTGGGTCACCACATGTACTGCAGTCATAGTATTAATGGTGTGACTAGAACAAGATAACCTGTTGGAGTTCATCCCTCTTCAGGCTGGTTTTGAAATCAGACTTTACCTTCTTGTAGACTGGTTGACACCTCAAGGCAAGAGTACCCAGTCATCCTTACTATTTAACTCAAAGCTGGACAGAGAAGAGATGGATTCAGACTTTTCCCAAAGGTATTTGTGCAAAATTAAATGCAACGGCCTCAGAATTTGAACTCAGCTTGCTGATTTCTCTGAGGGTAGAAGACTTTTTCAAAGAATGAACTGATATTTTTATTACCGATATTCCCTTAATCCTAGTGAGATTCCTGATATCTTCTGCACTAAAGCAACCCTTTAAAATATTAAAATGACATGTCCACCATCAGGCATCACTGCTGGGATATTTTTACATCTTGTAATGTGTTCTTTTGTTTTTAAACATAGCATTGATGATTTTGTTGAAACAGTTTGTGTTTCATTTAATTAAATAACTGTCTTCCAGTAATTATTCATTTGACCTAAAAAAATTTCAGAAATACTAGATGAGTTTTTTTTTATTTTCTTCGGTAGTAGCTTTTTTTTATTCAAGTTGATTGTAAAATCCTTATTGGTTCACTCTTCTCTTCTATGAATTTTTAGAACATGTACCATTGATTCCACTTCACCAATATATTCATCTTTGAGACATTCTCAGTGAAGAAGGCACAACAAAAGTAAAAAAAACAGATAGTCTTAAAGTAAATAATATTGAATATTTGGTTGCATAACCTTTGCTTGCAATAACTTATTAATTGCTTCTAATGCCACAAATGTGAACTTCTTTTTGGTTTAAATACCTGTGTTATATTCTCTTTTAATTCAAATTTAGCTTTTGTTTTCATGCATCTATCTAAACCTTCTGAGAAGACTTCTGGAAAACTCTTTTTTTTTTAGCATTTCACCCCCAAGCAAGGCAGGAGTGCCACTAGCATGCAAGGGGTTACAGAGAGTGAGAGCAAGAGTAAAGAGAGGTTTTTGAGGAAAGAATATAGAGGAAGACAAGGATTAGGATCAAGACATCAGAAGATGTCGATTGACATTACATTTGAATATTTGAAAATTATAGCTATCAGGGAAGCTAGTAGGAGGAAGGGAGTTCCACTGTCAAGAAGTATCAGAGAAGAAGCTTTTAGAGTAGAAGAGGTGGTTACATTTAACTGTTTCAACAGTGAAAAGGTGGAACCGAGATACCAACCTAGTAGCCCGCTTAAATTCATGCAGTTGGGGAACCTGTGAAAGTAGCTCATCAGAGCAGTTGCCATGAATATATTTGTAGAAAAGACAGAGGGAAGCCAGCATGTCTGTGAGAAAGTGACTGTAGACAAGATGCTAGATCAGGACCTATCACATTTCTTTCTTTAAGTTTTTGGGTGCCATATTAGCACTAGAGGTAACAATATTTATTTTGTCACAGAATGAATTAATTGGGATTAAGTCAAATAATGCAATCCAATCTGTTCCAAATAAATTAACTGTATTCTTTATTACAAGCATAACCACTTTTTTAGTTTTACCAATAAAAGAAATGTTGCAGGTGAATTTACCCATAAAATTCATTTTCTTCCCTGTAACTCCATGAGCAATTTTACCAGAAGTTAATAAACTGGGTTTACCCATTTTTTCTATGTCTATTTATTGATAATAGTGATATCAAACTCTGTATCTAGTTGTAGTTTTATTTTAACATTATTAATTTTATTTTAATAAAAATATTTCCTCTTTTGAGATGTTTCTAGCTTAGTTAAAGACATGTTCATTGAATTTTTGTTGTTAGTTTTGCATTTATGTTTTTTGACTTTACACAATGTATTTATCATGTTTACATATGTTCTATTTTTTTTCCATTTTTTTGTATTTGCAATGAGTACTTCTGTGTTCGATCTTTCCACATTCATAGCATTTTCTGTTCTTGAAAAAAAAAATTACTTTTGAAATGTTTACCTCCAGAACCGTGGCAAACATTAGGTATTGAAAAAGGTCTATAATCTGTTTTTTGTTCAATGGTCTGGCATTATGTATGTGTGAAATATCTCTTTTCTCAATCCTTACAGTATCAAGTTTAAGATTAACAATGTGCTGACACTCTTTGGCTATTTTCTGGAGAGTTAACTTGGGATTCATCTCTAATTTAGCAAGTATCCTGGATCTTATTTTCACATCCTTATTAGCAGTTAAGCCCTTTACAAATATTAGGCATTTGAGTAAATCTGGTGTTAATTTATTTCATTTAAATTTTACACAAGCCAAATTAAATTTCAAGATTTAAAACTGAAAAAAAATTAAGCATAAAAGAAGAAAAAAAAATATCACTAACAATCATGAGTTCTTCTAACCACAGACTCACAGTAATTGCACAAGTAGAAAAAAAATGTGCCTTTCACCTGTTTTGTTATTAGGTTAGTGTGTTAAAATTATTTCCAAATATACACCTTCCATTTAAAATGAGGTGGTTAACTGCAGAAAACAAAATTTCAAGACTGAGAATCAAGCAATACCAATGCAAAAAAGCAAAATCTTCAGCTAAAGATCAAAGCTGGTTTTGACATAAAAAATCATTCTTCTCCACTTCTTATTCCTCAAATCTTTTTTTGCAATTTCTGCGCTCAGTTGATGCCTGTCCAATCTAGGCATAGCTGGTTGACCATATATTTAAATGTCAGTGCAGCTACTAATATCAAGCACACGTTAACCCACTAATGCACTTGGCTTCTTTGATGGTCTGATGTGGCACTGAGTGTAAAGTTTATTCTAGCATCATCTGGAAATGTGAATCCAGTACATATTGGGTCAATACAGATCAGCTCTTCTTAGATCAAGGTTCCTGGTAGATATTAAATTCAATTCAGACTATCTGACATTAATCTCATACTGCACTAACCACAATAGAGATTATAAATTCAAATACGACGTAACTATAATCAGATCTTATTTTTAAGAAATTTAGAAGCTACTGCTGGTATGTTCTATGACCATTAGTTGCTCTACCACCAAGATTTTGTGCCAGACTTGGTCAGCTTAAGTAAAAGCCTACATATCAACAGGGTGTCTCTCATAGAGCTCTAGACAGAAAACTAGTCTATTGCAAGTGAGTTCTATTCTCACTAAGAACCAGGCTTTGGACCAGACAAAGGCAAATCAAGCAAATGCATACATACTAACAAGAGACATGTCATACAGTTCTAATTAGTAATCTAGTATAACCAACAATTGCTAATGATTTCCAGATTTATCAAGTACTTTAATCCTGGGTATGATGATAAACTACATCTGGCAGCAAGGCCACTGATCAGGAGATTAGAGGTTTTGAGTAGTGTGGACCAACCTCTTAATTATTTTTGTTTCCAGGTTCACACTGACTCAGAGTGGTAGCACCTGTTAGTGTCTTATCTATGGGCAAATAGCGAACCCCCACACACAAACAAAACACTATGAAAGTATAAAAATATATTTTTTATAGTAAAATGACCAACAATATCTGTAGTTGAAAACATGCAATTGCATTCAAAATCTATTTGGTTGAAGCCATAGAATTGTATTTAAAATATTTATATTTTAGCATTAAATAACCCATAGAGGTGTTGATATGCAGTGAAATTAAATCAACCAAACCAAACATGTACCTCATGATTACAGTTCTTTTGTTGACATAGAAACTCTTTTAGAAGTAAAAATATAGTTAAAATTAGTTTAACAAATACAAGATCAGACAAAATTTCTAGTTTTGCCTGAGCTTCCTATCGGACTTTCTTCTCTTATGAGAATTATAGCTATCTCATATATCAGTCAACCCCTGAGCCATTTTCCAAAAGTGCTTCTTTCCTAATGCAAACTTAACAGCTCATTAATCAAATGATAAGCTATTGCCAACTTAAACAAGACTTCCAACTCCCCCATCCACTTCAAGCTTCTCTTTGCAATTGCAGGTTCTTTTTTTATTGTATGGTATTTTATATATATATATATATATATATATAATCCCATGGAATAATTATTTCTTTTATCAACAAAAGCCACTTGTGCTCGATAGAGCCCATAAACAAAGGAAGTCACGTAAATAATCTCTGCTGAAGTCAGCACTGAAACAGCAGTAGAGATGTTGTATTTACTGCTGAAGCATTTTGGCTTTCATCTTCAGATCATAAGATGCAAAGAAGACAACATTCACAGGACAGAAATGCCTGCGGGAAAAAGAACTCTTAAGTAAGGTTGAACAGTCATCAATTATGATTGGAACTCATTGATTTTTCACACTGTAGTATCTGATGACTCATTAGGGATCAAGTGACAACAAACCACTTCAATAATATAGATTATTCTTTTCCTTTCACCAATTCCTATTAAATTTTATTAAAGGTGTTGTTCTTTTTGTTAATGTCTAAATCGTTTTACAGTGCTGATTAATTCATCTATTTGCTTTTTATGGCTTGTCAACCCTTTTTTCAGTACTTTAAAGCCAAAACCTATTTTGAATTATTAGAGGTTGCTTGCAGTACCTGGTGTTACCATGCAGTCCCCCATCTAAGTACTTACTGGGTGCAACACTGCTTAACTTCAGTGATCAAAAGAGAACTGGTCATTTTAAAAATTCCTGTGGAATGGTTCCCATAATGATCAGTACTGCTGTCAGTTGTCACCTTCAGAAATTCCACAAGACAGGATGTACAGGTGGCATATTGGATAATAATGGATAGCAACTCAGACAAAAATAAAAATCAGTAACCTGAGTTCAAATTCTTGTTGACTTTGTTGCCTTCTCTTTTGCACAAATACCAACTAACTGCTTTTCTCTGATTCTTTTGATTATGCCATTTGTAATGGTAAATTCTCCAGACGTTCTTTCTTCATTTTGCATCCAAAAATTTCCGCTGATTCTTTATGACTTTTAGCAGCAATTTCTTTGTTTCTTATTGTTCTTAAAGCTACTTTGTTTCTTACATAAGCTATCTAAAAGTTAATGGTATAACTGAGGTTCTTACATAAATTCATTTGTTTTTATAATTTATTTTAATATTTATTATTTATTAATAGTTCTGATGAATCATGATACAATGCATTCCTCTTCATAGTTTATGATCTCCTGCCAATAACTGTTCAATGGCTTGATAATAAAAATCACTAGGTTTTGATTAGAAAAATTCATTAGGCCATGTTTTAAGCTCCATATCATTGTTGAATGAAACACCCCTCAAATTGTTAAAAAGCAACTGAAAAGGTTTTAGTTTGAAAGGGTAAAATCAGGAGAATATGGTTTGTGTCACAGAACTTCCCAAACAAGTTCTTTCCTGTCCTGGGTATGACAATAAACTGCATCAGCATCCTGGGTAAGACCATAAACTATGTCCAACAGCAAGGCCTCTGATCAGGAAGTTTTGAGGAGTGTGGAACCACCTCTTAATTGCTGGTTTTCCCAGGTCCATCCCAACCCAGTGTGGTAGCACCTGTTAGGGTCCCAGCTATGAGCAAATGGTTAGCCCCCAAACTGGGGTTAAATGTGTAAAAATAGATTTTAATATCAGCAATACATTTTTGTAAAAAAATTATTACCAGCAATTAATTTTTGAAGAAAAAATTATTACCAGCAATACTTCTTTGGAAAAAATATTACTAGCAATCCATTTTTGAAAAAAAAATATTACCAGTAATAAATTTTTGGAAAAAAAAAATTGCCAGTAATACATTTTTGGAAAAAAATATTACCAGAAATACTTTTTGAAAAAAAAGAATATTACTAGCAATAAAAATCTTGTCAGCATTACGTAACCCATTGAAGTTGATATGCCATAAAACAAACCAAACCAAGCTCTTTGTTTTGTGATGTCAATGAATATTTGTTGCCACTTTCACAATGCTCATTGTAGTAGAGACTTTGTAATCGCAGATGCAACTAGAGTAATGCTGTTGAACAATGCTGGTGTCAGGCACCTTCGAATATTATTCACACTAATAGTACTTGCTCGATAATACTCGCTCAAATAGTAATCTGTATAGTGATCCAAATAAAGAAATAGTATAGTGAATAGAATAGAAAATAGCAGTCTGTATAGTAATAGCGGATAGAGTAGAAATAACGATCAGTTATACATCATGCATTTCTCCCATGGTCGCATGATAGATTTAATTCAATAATGTAATCACCAGTGTTTGCTCACTGGCAATCTATGTTCAAACTCAAGTGTCAGTAGCAACACTTTATTCCTATATAACACTTTGTATCCATGAGTAGGCTGGTGTTGAGCAAATTGGTGGAAATGGAGGAGAGCTGGAATTTGTTTCTCTTGGTCAATGCATGTGACATTTATGCGCCATGTTTCTGGACCTCACCTATAGAGTGAAGTTGATGAGCGACAGTAATATGAGAGCTTGCTATCTTCTGAGCCAATTCCCTAATGGTCTGGTGCAGTTCTTCTTTAATTAGCATGTGCAATTGGTTCTCATCAAATGGAACAGGTCAGCCAGGTGTGTGCGTTTGAACTTCCTCTCCTTGAAACAGGAAAACCATTTGTGCCATTCTGTCAGTAATGAAGTCATCTCCGTATGCAGCACAAATATCTCAAGCAGTTTTGTGACCTTGATTAAAAGCAAAGAGAAGATGACATTGAACATTCTCATTCTTGTCTACTTGGCAATTCCATCACAAAGGGAAGTCTAATCTGAAATAAAATTTCAATAATGTTAGATAACATTTTCACAAGATGACCAGTATCAAAAAAATGCTATGAAAGATTATTCTTTGAAATCATTTGCAGACCATCAGGAAAAAAACAAATGAATATATTTAACAGCCTAATATGTCTCTGTTGTTTCAAGTTTTTTCTTCATTTGTGGTGAAAATATCCAACATCCACTGTAAGGTCAATGGGCATGTAGCTCAATGAGGTAGTCTGGGCTCCATAACTATGTACACAGCTGGTGTGGTGACAGCAGAGCATCACTGAGCAGAAGTCAACTGCTGTGTCAGAGGGTTCCTCATAAGGGAACTTTCAAGATAGATGGCATTGGTCATAGTTTAACTTGGAAAAGGGTGGGTACCATCAGGTGTATGCATGAATGAATAACTCACTGACTTTCAATCCAGGTAGGTAGATGGAATTGGTCAGTGACCTAATGATCACACCCAGTTGCAAGATGTAGATGATATTCTGGATGCAATACTTTAATGAAAATTTGCTTAATACTTGATGTTTGAATAATGCAGAGAAAAATAATAACTATTAAAATTAGGCTGGATTACTTCCATTTATTTAGAGGAAATTAGACATTACATCACTGTCCCATTCTCTTTTCTTTGTATGGCCATTTTTAATCTTTTAAAGCCTTAGTCTCCAAAAAGCATCTTTCGCTATTTATATTAACCTTCTGATTTCTATTATACTTTCCATTGTCTGTTACTTTTTCTTTATGGGCCATGTTCCCTCATGATATAGGCAGTCATGACTCTCCACAACTTCCTGTCCTTTGTAGCTCTTAATAAATTTTGTCATTTCTGTTATTTTCTCTTAAAACCTTGCCTTAAATCTGTTCTGTGAGTATCAGATTCTCCAAGCCCTCCTTCCTCATTATGTGCCTCATGAACCTCAACTTCCTGATGTTAAGTATAAGTTTCCTTTTTGTTTCCATTTTCTTTAAAACTTTGTTGTTGCTCACTTGTTCAGTCAATGGTATCCTCAGCATCCTTCTGTCAAACAATATTTCTGTTGCTTCAAGTCTCTTCTTCATCTTTGAGTAGATTGTCCTTTCCACTCACTGCCATATAGGAGTACAGATATCATGTAACAGTTTAGTACTCTTTTCCTTCTTTCTAGTGAATTTTTTCTATTTCTTAATACTCTGCTTAGCTTTTGGAATGCATCTTTGGCTATCACAATACCTTTTTGGATTTCAGTCTCACACTTTCTGTACTCTGTTAAAACACTTCCCAGATATTTAAGTTTCCACACTTGTTTGATTCTGGTATCTCCTATTTTCAATTTGCACTTTCGGCTCATCCTTTTGCTGACAACCATACATTCTGTCTTCTTGCAGTTGATGTGTAGTCCTTTCTTCTTGCTTTCCTTCACTACCTTCTGTAGGAGTTTTTATAGTTTTCATTCTGTGTCTGCTACTATACGACCCACATTGAATTTCTGCACCTATTTGATTTTTACATCCCCACTGTGTAACTCACACCTTGGACATTTCCTTTTGCTAACAACCATGTATTCTATCTTTTTACAGTTAATGTTAGCCTTTCTTGTTTTTATCAGCTAATCTCCAACCCAGTATCATCTGCATAGCATATGTTATTAAGGTTACATCTGCAAATAATAAATCCTGGTAGGCATTTTAATCTCTTCAGTGTTTACTTTCATCAGACGTAGAAAAAACAATATAGGATAGAAAGCTTATTTATGCAGCAATTACTGATGTCGTTAAATGATCCTGTGATATTTTGGTTTACTAAGTATCAGAAATTATCAAAACTATTTTATTTTTTTACTCCAAAGCTTATTTCATATACACATCAAAAGACAATCTACAGTGTCCAATGAATGCGCAGTGTTTGTTTTTGATTTTGTCAACTTCACAGTATAATAAGTTCAGTTGGGCACTGTCTTTGAGAAAAAGAGCACCATGATGCAATTCACTCTGCCAGAAATTTGAAAACAGCATGCTGTACTGCTCCAAATATGAACATTTCAGAGTGTCTGAGGACAGTGCTGAGAATTTGGAAAGAGTTGGATGAGTCTAATGGTGATTATGAAGTTACAGCGGTGTTTGGAGTGATCACTAGTGATGATGATGTTATGCCTACATTGATCTTCCCACAGAGCCTCAGACTCAACACAAAGGCCTACATCAAGTGCCCTGAGGAGGTAGTGCTGCCCTGAGTCAAGAGAGTGGATGCTGGAAGACTCTATGTCTGACAACAGGACTCTGCACCATGCCACACAAACAGGAGAATCAAGTTATGGCTGTCAGACAATTTCTGTGACCACATCACTCCTTACATCTGGCCACCTAACTCCCCAGATTGCAACCCATTTGATTATTGTGTAGAGTGCAGTTGAGCGGGAGACCAACAAAACTCCTTCTAACACTGAAGATAAAACTAAAGGCAAGGATTATAGCAGCATTCACATGCATCATATACTTTATGTAAATAGAATATAGAATCCAGACAAATTTTGATATATTTGATAAATTGGACAACTTTATTCACTTGCTTACATATTTCAACCCGTTCTGAAAAATCTGGATAAGGGATTTATCTTAAATTCAATGCAGCAAAGCTGGGAGAATATAAAATCAAATTTCAACAAAACAAAAAAACTGAAAAAAGAAAAGAAAATGGCCTAAATGAAAATAACAGCTTTTCTATAAAAGTTGCATGATTCTGTTCTTTCATCCTGACCAAGGAATGTCAGCTTAGCAGAAAAAGTATTAATGATTTAATATTGAGGCATACATAAAGCACACACACACACACACCTCTTTTATTCTGATCTGAGAAAGTCTATCTAACAACGTCAAAATGCATAATCAAGTCAATAAAGTAGTCTTCCAATTTGTCAAATTTAATAGACATCATATACTC